AAAGGAATTCATGAGAAGATTCTCCAATATGAATATGTAGAACTAAGCACAAGTTCTATTGAGAATGTGCTGAAACAATGAAGGATCACATTAAAGTGTGCATCTTTTCAAGCTGATCCTTGAAACTCAGAGAGAACAATGGAGATGCACAGAGTGTATGTGTTAAATTTTTCTTGAAACATCCCTGAACCAAGACAATAATATTCATTGATGAATCGGGTTTAATTGCCATCTTCGGGGAACAAAGGCGTCATCAAAGGTTAATACTCCAGCCCATGTGACCATGCCAATGACTAGAGGACGAATGTTTCCCTAATTGCCGCAATCAGCATTCAGGGAATGGTGTGGCATGAAGTGATTGCACATTCCTGTTACTTCAAATATTTTTTTTGCAACTTTCTCTGCAGGTTACTGCAGAAACTGGATGAAGATAATTTGGAGGATGTGGTTGGTTTTGGAGAATGTAAGCTTCCACAAAACCCAGGAAGTATGTGATCTTGGTGGTCAGACGAGGCATACCTTACTATTCCTGCCACCATATTTTCCATGATGAATCCCACTGAAGTTTTTTCAAAAGTGAGGTTCTGCCTGAGATATATTTTGACAGATCCTTCAAACCATGAATGTTTAACAGATGCTATTAATCATTCTGTAGTGACTATTACTCCTGAAGGTTGTCACAATTACTTTATGAATATGTATATGAAAGTGCCAGAAGAGGTAGTGGGAGAACTACAAAGAGGGAAATTATAAGTAAATAAGTATTTCTGAAGTTAAAAAAGTATTTTATTACTATGTACATGCAATATTTAATTTTAATAACTTTGCATAAGACCTATTTTTGTTACAAAGCTTTTGAAATTTTTTTAGTGGAAAAATTTGCTTTGCAAAAGGGTGAATTTGAAGTGGAAAACCTGTATCATGGGGTTTTAGCATGAGTGATGCCAGTTTGGGTCTGTGGTTTTCTGCCCTTAAAAAAAATTTTTTTTTCTAGAATGCAGAATGATTTATTCCAAAAGATTGCAGAAGAAAGACATTCATCCTGAAAATATGCTTTGGTGTAATTCTATTGGGACAGATCTTCCTTTGAACACGCTCTGGTACTGGCTGCTATACTGGAGTCTTACTGTCTTGTGATGGCTTTTAAACACTTAACTGATTCCCATTCGGGAGCAAGAAGGAGCCATGTTCAGATCCACTGGGTCCAAGGAGAGTGCCGTATTTCTCAGAATAGCACCTTCTGTCTCAGAAGAGTGCATAAACATTTTACGACATCAGCACAATTTAGATTAAGACAACACATAATTAACCAAAATGTAAGAAGTGTAAAAGGAGCCCTGGCTTTTGTGGTTCAGTGGTTAGAGCATCGTCCTGTGCACTGAAGGGTTGCCGGTTCAGTTCCGGTCAAGGACACGTACCTGGGCTGCAGGTTGTTCCCTGTCTCAGGTAGGGCACATGTGGGAGCAACCAGTCGATGTACCTCTCTCTCACATTGATTTCTCTCTCTCTCTCTCCTTCTCTCCCTTCTACTCTTAAAAAAATCAATGGAAAAAAAATGTCCTAGGTGAGGATTAACAATAAAAAAATAGTAGGAAAAGATACTGCACTGTAGAATAAGATACTCAAATGTGTGAATGTTTATGGCTGCTGGTGGCCAGAGCAGGTGTCAAGGAAGGCAGCCTGGGTTCTAAAGGTTTAGTAATAGGAACAGCCACAAGGAACCGGTGCCTCCCATCCAGGATCACACTCTGATCGCTGTACATTTCACTGAAGACTCTGCGTCTGGATCAGGGTCACTCTTGGTCAAGAATAAAGAATGAAAGAAGTGAAACCGGGGAGCCTCAAAACAGACTCAGCCCTGGCCCACGTGGCTTGGCTGGTTGGAGCATCGTCCTGTAAACCAAAAGGTGGCGGGTTCCATCCCCGGTCGGGGTGTGTGAAGGAGGCAACAATCAATGTTCCTCTCTCACACTGATGTTTCTCTCTAAAAATCCATTTTTAAAAAAAAGCTGCGTCAGCCCTAGATAGTTTGGCTGTGGATAGAGCGTCGGCCTACAGACCAAAGGGTCCCAGATTAGATTCCGGTCAAGGGCACTTCCCTTGGTTTCAGGCTCCTCCTGGGCCCTGGTCGGGGCATGTGCAAGAGGCAACCACATCGACGTGTTTCTCTCACATCAATGTTTCTCTGTCTTTCCTTCTCTTCCACTCTCCTTAAAACTCAATGGAAAAATATCCTTGTGTGAGGATTAACACAAAAACGAAAAGAAGAGAGCTGAATCAGAGTTACGGTCCTGCTATCATCAGAAGCGTCAGCAGGGCAGAGGGCTGGCCAACACCTCAGAACAGGGTGTATGTGTGGACCCCCTGCAGCTCAAACGGCCAACACCCTCTGCTCACCCCCCCACCC